GACAAAAGTTGCAAAAACAATATAAAGAATTCCTGGGGCACCTGGGTGGCTCAGTGGTTAGGGGACTGCCTTCGGCTCAGGTCATGATCCCGGAGTCCCAGGATTGAGTCCCACATTGGGCTCCCTGCTCAGCAGGGAGTCTGCTTCTCCCTCTGACCCCCTCCCCTCTCAAGCTCTCTCTCACTCTCACATAAATAAATAAAATCTTAAAAAAAAAGAATTCCTGTATATCCTTACTCAGATTTCCCAAATGTTAAGACTTACTTTTATCATTGTGTGTGTGTGTTTATACATATATGGGCCTGTGCATCTGTGTGTATAAAGTTTCCAGATACATTTGCAAATTGCCTTTACCTCTGACCTCTAAATACTTCATTGTATATTTCATAAAAACAAGGACAGTCCCTTAATCATATATTATCAAAATAAGAAAATTAACATTAATATTAATCTTATAGCCATTTAAATAATTTTCAAATTCTTTTTTTTTAAAGTAAGCTCTACACCCAATGTGGGGCTTCAACCTGAGATCAAGAGTCACATGCTCTACCGACTGAGCCAGGCAGGTGCCCCTCTTCAATTTCTTGATGTAGTGAATTATATTAATAAATTTCCTGATAGTGAGGCCTATATCACTGAAATAAACCTAATGTGATCAGAGTGTACAATTGAACTTTATTTTATTTGGTATTTTTTATCTATAGACATAGGTGAGATTAGGCTAGGACTATCAGGTTTGAGTATTAATCTTATGCTGGCCTTTAAAATTCAACTGAGCATTTTTCCATCTTATCCCAAGATCTGAAGCAGCTTATAGAATAATTAAAAATTATAACTCATCTATTTGTTGGACTGGATATGACGGCTACAAGTAGTGTTCACCTTGTGACCGTTCAGTGGAACTGTATACTTGTGATTTGCATATTTTTCCATGTATATTTCAATAAAAGAAGTTTAAGTAAAAGAACATGATTTTTTAGAAGGATAAACGTTTAATCCCCTTTCTGATTTTTTCTTTGGTAATTAATTGGTCTATTCAAAGTATGTTTTGGGTGTCTGCTGGGAAATTACCCATTTGCTCTGTTTCCAAATTTGTTGCCACAGAATTCTCCTGAAATTATTTAAAATTTTTCCATATCTACATTTCTCATTCCTAATCTTGCATTTTTTTCCTCTTTTTCTATTTATCAGGCTGAAGTTTTATTTTACTGGTGTTTTCAAAGAGTCATTTTTCTACTTATCCTTTCTCCTTTTTTTCCCCTTTTTTAACTTCAAGTTTTATCTTTATTGGTCTATTTTCTATTTTCTTATGGCTTACATGTGTTTTTCTTCCCCTAAATCTTTTTGGATTTTTTTGGGGGGGGCAGGGCAGAGGGACAGAGAGAATCTTTTTTTTTTTTTTTTAAAGATTTTATCCATTCATTTGACAGAGAGAGACACAGCGAGAGAGGGAACACAAGCAGGGGGAGTGGGAGAGGGAGCAGCAGACCTCCCGCCGAGCAGGGAGCCCGATGCGGGGCTCGATCCCAGGACCCTGGGATCATGACCTGAGCCGAAGGCAGACGCTTAACAACTGAGCCACCCAGGCGCCCGGGACAGAGAGAATCTTAAGCAGGCTCCGTCCCCAGCATGGAGCCTGACACAGGGCTCAATATCACAACCCTGAGATCATGACCTGAGCCAAAATCAGATGCTTAACCGACTGAACCACCCAGTTGGGTGGTTCCTAAATTTCTAAAACAATCATCACGCATCTTTGAGTTTTTCTTTTTGAATAATAAAGGTGTTACTTTTCATTTTCAAGCCCTGTCTCATGCATTCCAGGATACTCAATACGGGTTCTGGGTCTTGCTTTGCCCCATTTGCTCAGGGTCCAATCCTGGCAGATCCTACCGGCTGGCCACAAGAACATGACAAATAAACGTGTGCTCAGTGAATAAATGACACTGTTCTGTCCTGGGACCCACTGTGAAGATCTGTGCTCACTGCATGGCACGCCCAACCATCCGAATACCTGGAGCATCTGTCATATGCTGGCACTGTGTCAGGTCCTGTCAATAGGACAGTGAGCTGGACAACCGAGTATCTGCGCTCTGGGTGCTTACAGTGCTTTCTGGTGACAAAGACAGACACAGAACAAGTAATGCAAGTGAGCTGAGTGTTGCCTAGGATGCTATGGAAGCATAAGATAGGGGCCGACATCCCTTAGGAGGTGTAGTTAAGAATCTGTAGAAGTGATACTTAAGTCCCTCAAAATCTGAGGGTCTACCCTATCTCCTCCTCTCCTCTCGGGAACGTGGCCATTGGGTTTTCTAATACAAAAGTTATCTGGTCTTGAGTTATATGCCTCCTGCTCCTGGTCACAGCTGACTGAACCAAAGACTGATCACCAGGCATAGAACTTTATCTACTAGGAATGTTCCATATAGGATGGTCACTGACTGACTGCATTAAAGCCTTCAAGGGAGGTCTGAACACCCAACAGAGTGAAAGGAGAAGAAAAGGAAATAGCAGAAGAAGAGAAAAAGAACAGGAGAGCATAACAACAGCCACAAACCCTGTGGTACTGGATTGGAACTGCAGGTATCAATGAGAGCTCACTATTTTTAATAATACACATATAGATAGAGTAATAAATTCAGATGTGTGTGTTAACATGAATACACCTATTTCCTAGCTCTGTGTGCTGAAAGGGCCTAGAAGTAATGACACTCCAGTAGCAATGAATACACCTAGTGCCTATTCTTGAGTGCAAGGAACCAGGAGCTATCTGGGAAAATAGCTGATGCCAGGGCTGGAACAGGAAAAATATGAGTGAGCTTGGAACATCTTGTGGCGCTAGAGAGTAAGGAAGGGCTAAAAAAATGATGGGGGCAATGCCAAAAAAATACAGAAGCCAACCTGAAAGCGGTCCCAATGGCCAAATCTGGGCCAGTATGACCAACGAATAAACTACCATAGTATTAGATTATAACCCACAGAATAAGACAAATATCCATTAGTTTATACTGATATAAATAAATTATTGAATAAATATATGGGAGAAAAGAGATAGCTCTTCCCTACAAAATACCAATTAATAAATACAGATGAGATAAGTAAACAGAAAGTCATCATTAGGCCAACACAGCATTAATACTTATAAGCAAAAACCAATGATGGATGCTAAAATTCACAGGCAAAAGTTTAAGGACAAATAAGACATCTACACAGCTTCAAAGTATCTCCCCACAAGATTCTTATTAATTTCAAAGGGGAAATCATTAATTTTACAGTGGAGAAACCTGACACATACCACCACAGTCACATGATCCAAGTTAATATCACCCCCTGCTAGAAGGCACTAGAAGGGCACATCATCACTTCTGGGGTAGTTCTGCCAAAACTGCAGACCCTCAATCTAATCATATAAAAACAGGAGACAAACCCAAACTGAGGAACGTTCTATAAAATAACTGACCTGGACATTTCAAAAGTGTCAAGGTCATGAAAGGAAAAGAAAGATGGAGGAACTGCCAAGGGCTGAAGGAGACAAAGGAAACATGACAAAATGTAACATGGGATCCTGGATTGGACCCTGGACCAGATAAAGGACATCAGTGGGAAAAATGGCAAAATCTGAATGTCTACAGATTAGTTAGTACTGTGTCAATGTTAACTTCCTGCTTTTAATAACTATACTACAGTTTGGTAAGATGTTAATATTAGGAGAAGTGAGGTGAAGGATATAGGAGAACTACTATTTTTGCAACTTTTTGTAAGTCTATAATGATTTCAAACAAGTAGCAGTAGTAGTAGCAGTAGCAGTAGTAGTAGCAGTAATAGCGTTAATAGTAGTAGTAGTAGTAGTGGTAGTGGTAGCAGTAGCAGTAGTAGTGGCAGTAGCAGTAGTAGCAGTAGCAGTAACAGTAGTAGTAGCAGTAGTAGTAGTAGTAGTAGCGGTAGTAGTAGTAGTAGCAGAAGCAGTAGTAGTAGCGGTAGTAGCAGTAACAACAGTAGTAGCAGTAGTAGCAGTAGTAGTAACAGTAGTGGTAGTAGTAGCAGTAGTGGTAGTAGTAGCAGTAGTAGTAGTAGCGGTAGTAGTAGTAGTAGCAGAAGCAGTAGTAGTAGCAGTAACAACAGTAGTAACAGTAGTAGTAGTAGTAGCAGCAGTGGTAGTAGTAGTAGCAGTAGCAGTAGTAGCGGTAGCAGTAACAGGAGTAGCAGCAGTAGTAGCGGTAGCAATAGCAGTAGCAGTAGTAGCGGTAGCAGTAGTAGTAGTAGTGGTAGAAGCAGTAGTAGTAGCGGTAGAAGCCATAGTAGTAGCAGTAGCAGTAGTAGTGGTGGTAGTAGTAGCGGTAGAAGCAGTAGTAGTAGCGGTAGAAGCCGTAGTAGTAGCAGTAGCAGTAGTAGTAGTGGTAGTAGTAGTAGCAGCAGTAGCAGTAGTGGCGGTAGCAGTAGCAGCAGTAGTGGTAGCAGGAGTAGTAGCAGTAGCAGGAGTAGCAGTAGTAGTAGTAGCAGTAGCAGTAGTAGTAGCGGTAGTAGTAGTAGTAGCGGTAGCAGTAGCAGTAGTGGTAGTAGTAGCGGTAGAAGCGGTAGTAGTAGTGGTAGAAGCCGTAGTAGTAGCAGTAGCAGTAGTAGCAGTAGTAAAAAGAACAGCAGTTACTGAGGTAGGGAGCAGCAGACAGCTCCCTGAGGGCCTGGACGGTGACTGCTAGAGCATCTGCTGGAGCCCATGTCCTGACTTCCGACTGCCTCGTACCCACCACATTGTTCTGGCATTCTGCCATCACCTAAGGGACTTTAATTCCTGCCTCTATTTTCTGCTTCCTGAAAGAGATTAGCTAACACCAAAAGGAGGGATCCAAAAAGGCCCTGCAGGGTGATGGGGTGGTCATCAATGGTGGCTACTATCGATGGTGCCCAAGGATGCACCAGGCCTCGCTGTGTCCTGCTAAGCCGGGGCTGAAACGTGGCTCATTTGCGGTATGCCCTTGGGGGATGGTGTGCAGACCCTCTGCTTCGTGACTAACATGCAGACTGCCCGGGGGAGCAGTTTATTCCAGGCTAACTCAGCTGGGACAGCAGTATAGACAGAGCTGATGCAGACTCCATGGCCACCTGGGCACAGCCTGATTTCATGATCTCTCTCCCTACAGCTCCCCGATGTCTGTGTTCGTCTCCTGAAGGAGGCCCCATAGAGCTGAGCTTGCCTGGTCATTTGGTACTGTTGTCCAGTCCCGGAGCAGAGCAGGGTAGTGACCCACTCAGCCTTCCTCCTCGAGGTGCCTTATACTGGCTTAGTTCCAGAGCTGGAGAAACATGGTCTGGCCTGACACCAGAATGTGGTGAGGGGAAACAGCCACCATATGGCAGTGGACGGGGGAGAAGTTCTATGGGTCCCCTCTCCTTGGAATTCTAGGCTATGGGAAAGAGGGAGCTACAGTCTACACTGCACAACCTCTGTGCCTGGGCCTCTGCACTCTTTCTCCACAATCTGTGCAGACATTCTGGGGACTCAGTTGTACGAGGGCCAGCAAAGGGTGTCAGGGCACAGCCTGGTCCCCGTCTTTTCCCAGGCAGATCTGTTCTTAGCGGCCAAACTTCTGAGCTTCCTGGGACCATGATAATCAAGTTCCAGAGACTACAGACCATGGGGATCATGCTGAAGGATAGAGATAAGGGACCTCCTTCTCTTCCCTGCCTTGAAGGGGATGGGGAGGCAGCCCCTCCCTTGGAGACCTGTTGGCAAGTTTTGGGCCCATAATAAAAGGTCCAGGGGAGGACAAAATCCCTATTTTTGACTTTGAGGCTGAGGAGGGGTCTTCCGGGGGCTATGAGGAGGTAAACAGGCCTCAGGCTGGGTGGAGAGGAGGGAAAGGGCATGAGGGGAAGATAGGTCAGTTGCCATGCCACAGCCGAGGGGCCTTTATTAGATGTTGAGGGCATGTAGAGGCAGGTGGGTAGAAGCTAGAGATTGTAGCACACCTTCTCAGGGTGTAGTGGGGCCCGGATGTCCAGTTTGCGGGTCTTGCTGTCCTTGTCGATGATCTCCAGCCGCAGCTTGGGTGGACGCTTCTCAGCTGGGGGTGAGGGCAGTTCGGGGCTCTTGAGCAGCTGTTTGTCTGAGTCCTCCACAGTGATGCGCAGAGTACAGCCCCCCGGCAGCAGGTCTTGTTCATAGGCGGCTGCCAGCTGGTTCACCACACGGCGCTCGACCTGTAGGTGACAGGTGAAGAGCTCATCACTGCTGGGGCCGCGGCCTGGAACCCAGGCTCTATCACTTACTGCCAGGGCAAGTCAGAAAGCTCTGGGCTTCAGCTTCCCCCTCCGCAAAGTGGGGCTAACCACACACAGCTTGCAGGACTATGCTAAAGACTCAATGACGTCAGTTTCTGAGGTTCCCAACTTAGTTCCTCACTCCTGGCAGAGGTTCATACTTGCTTATCCTCCAGGACCGGGGTTTTACTTGATCATCTTCTGGTCTGGGTTCTGAAGGGGCATCTGCTCTGGGTATGGACTATTCCAGGCTGGGAGCCCGGGGTGGGGCGGGGGCACGGGGGGAGGGAGGTGTGGAGATGCCTTACTTCTCTCAGGCTCCAGTGCTCACCTCATGCTTGATGGAACGGGCACCATAGTGCACATTGTAGCCGTCAACCAACACGTCTGCCACCTCGCGGTCCCAGAGCAGTGTGATGTTGTGCCTTTGCTTGGCCTGAGATAGGTCAGATAGGAGCATGCCCACATGTGGCCCAGTGCTTTCCATCTATCACCACTCTGGCCTGAGGCCCGGGACTGTGAGTGATTGTGTGCCCCCAGGGCCAGTGTCCCACACCACTGTGCTCCATGCCTCTAGGGGGGTGGTGCTTCCAACCCAGTGTTCCCTGATTTCCAGTGGGCAGATGACCCAACCCCACCCATGGGCAGTTCCTGCTCTTACTCTCTTGGCCCAGTAGTTCAGTTCCTTGTTGACAAGCTGGATGAGCTCTGAATGGCAGAAGGGGAGGAAGTAGACAATCTCGTTGATTCTTCCCAGAAACTCATCCCTCCGGAAGTGAGCCTGCAGGGCCGGGTTAAGGGTGGGTGAGCTTTGTGACTCAGAAGGGGTAAAGGGAATTACTGGACCCCAGCGGGGAAGACTAAGGATGGCTAAGGGGATCTTCCCACCGGAGACTCCAGTAGGAAGGACAAAGACCTCTTACTTTCAGGATGGGGCGTATCACATTCTCCTTGAAGTTCTTTGAGATGGTTATCTTGTCATTAATCTGGACATCCCCTGTGGAAAAAGAATCATAAACTGCCTACTCCCCATACCTAGGGAGCTCTGGGAACTGTGCCTGCCTCTTGCCCCCATTCATGAAAAGAGCTCTGGCCCTGCCCCCGATGGTCTGCGTGATCCTGGTCATGGTCTCAGGCTCTTTAGGTCTCAGCCTGGTCTCCACTTGAGTGAGAGGATCGGACTGGGCACTTCCTGAGGCCCGTCCAGTTCTATGTGCTACAAATACAAAGCCTGAGGTTCCTTAGTGTAGCAGTTGTGTGAAGGAGGGAAAGAGGGGGACAAGAGTCAGGACCAAGACTTGAGTTCTGACTTGGAAGAGGGGTTGGAAGGTTCGTTTCCAAATAGAAAGGTGACAGATGTGGCCTCCTGCCTGTTGTCGTCCTTGCCCCCAGGAGCTCTGCTGGTGGTCTGGGCACTTGCCCAGGTGCCCAGATAGCTCAGGCCGTGTGCCATACCAAGGTTTTCGGCGAGACGGTTACGGTTCATCTCCAAAGCCTCTTGCCTCAGCTGCAGTGCGTGCTGTGCGATCTCGTCACTGGCCACATTGGAGGTCATGATGAAGATGGCATCCTTGCAGTCGATGGTCTTCCCTTTTCCATCCGTCAGCCGGCCCTGGGAAAGAACCATGACTGCACAGTCAGGAAGTGCTAAACCTGGACACCTCTTCCAGGAGGTCTCTCCAGAACCCTCAGCTGCTCACTCCTCCCAGTTCTCCCTCTCCTGGGCTGCAACCATTCCACTGGCTGAGAGTGACTCCAGTCAAAACGGAAGCTCTGTTTATCATCCATCAGTGCCCCTGATTCATCTCTGGCACCCCGAAAGTCAGCCCAATTAAACGTGCATCCATCCAACGTACTTTCTTGGAGGCCCAACTGGGCCAGGCTCTGTGTTGGGGCACCGGGGCCTCACTGAGCTTTTGACATGCTTCTTCTTTTTTTTTTTTTTAAACAAGGTTCCTTGTCTTTCTTTTTTTTTTTTTTTTTAAGATTTTTAATTTATTTATTTGACAGAGAGAGACACAGTGAGAGAGGGAACACAAGCAGGGGGAGTGGGAGAGGGAGAAGCAGGCTCCCCGCTGAGCAGCGAGCCCAATGCAGGGCTCAATTCCAGGACCCTGGGATCATGACCTGAGCCAAAGGCAGACGCTTAACGATTGAGCCTCCCAGGTGCCCCAACATGCTTCTTGTTAATAAAAAATGACACTCAAGAAACCAGAATGACAATTCAGTGAGTTAAGTGTTATAAGGGGAAGCCCAGGCCACTGTAGGAGTTCAGAGGAAGGTATTTTATATGGCCATTGTGAAGACTAATATGGCCATGTGGGTTAAAAATCCTTAGTTAGCCAAGCTGCGCAAATGTTCCAAACTGTTATTACCACAGCAGACATGTAACATATATTTGTTGTATCAAAATGAACGAGATGAATTGCAACAGGTATAGTCTCTGCAACTTAAAGCCATCCTTTTGCCTGACAGAGAGGGATAGAAAATAAGGCTCCACCTTTAACCAATGTGGGAAGAGTCCTTGGAATCTTTAGCTCTTTCTAGAAGCGACACAGACGAAAGAAAGCATCTATACTGGAGACAGATGCACCGAGGAAAGAGACAAGGAGCAACAGCAGGGAGAAGAGACAGAATGAGAGAAGTATAGCTACCTGGGGCCACGCAGTTTAAGGGCGACAAGGACTCCCCCAGTCAGCCAGCTCCCACCGACTCAGCAAACAACAAGGCTGTATCACTGTACAACAGTTCTTTACAGTCATTTATGACAAAAGTGACGGTCAGGGCCTCTCTGAGCAGAACTGATGGAGTAACGATAGTGGACAACGGGGCACTTCTCCTTGCACCACAGGCACCCTGCTTCGTGTTCTCTGTGTCCTGTTGCACTCCTCCCACCAAGCACAGTTCCTGTCACGCCAGAGGACATGGCTCTGGGGCACGTCACTGACCCCAACCTGTCTGCTCCTGCCTGCCCCAGCCTCAGCTGGTAGCTAGTCCTCCTCAAGCATTTCCCTTTCCCTGGTGGTATGGACCTGACTCAGGTTCAGTCCTTGCTTCTAAAGCCAAAGCAATGGCAGACCAGCCCTGGCCCCCAGAGGCAAAAGGGGAAGGGATGTGCATTAACTTAGTAACTACTCCATGCTGGACATAGTACCTGGTGCTTTTTAGCCTTGCTTTATACTGGCCCTTGGCACAGGCTTCTTAGATTTATTTGTTTAATTTGAGAGAGAGCATGTGAGCAGGGGGAGGGGCAGAGGGAGAGGGAGAAAAATCCTCAAGTGGACTCCCTGCTGAGCACGGAGCCCAACACGGGGCTCAAGAGGGGCTCAATCTCAAGACCCTGAGCTGAAATCAAGAGTCAGATGCTTAACCGACTGAGCCACCCAGGCGTTCCTCAGGCCTCTTAGAAAGTGTCAGTTCCAAAGGGATCAATTCGAAGGGGCCTTGAGGTCCAGGTCCTGATTACAGTCCCTGCCTTGGGGTGGGAAGAAGGGAAGGCAAGGGAGCAAGTAGATGTTCTTGAGCTTTTGCCATTGGCTTCCCTATTTATGAGTAACAGATCAACAGAATCTACTGAGGGCAATTCTAGTTCTGGTCTCTGCACGTGTGTGTGTGTGTGTGTGAGTGTGAGAGAGAGATGTGTCCAAATGTATGCATATGACACTCCTCGCAGAGCTCCTTCCCGAAGACGGAGTTCACACACCGCTATACTGGCCAGAACAACCACCAGCGGCAATTCCATTCCAGGATCAAAGCCCTGCTTTTTTTAACTGGGCCTGGGGATGGGTCCCAGGTGGGTGAGGGGAGCAGACACGGCGTATGAGTGACCCAAAGGGTGACTTTCACAGGGTTCATGTCTCCTCCTTCTCAGAGTCCTTGGCGGTAAGGACTGCCAAAGAGTTCTCCCCAGAGAGGGAGCTGTCTCCGTGCCACCCCTCAGCAATGACAGGGTGGGTGTGACTGCTACCCCAGGGTTGTAGGGGCTGCTTTCCCACTGCTTCTGTCCTTGAAGGCAGGCTCGGCAGGGGCCAGTGTCCTCCTGAGACTTCTGCCCTGCGCGGCCGGCTCTGGGGCCACCTGGAGTTTTACTGAGAGCATTAGGGCTCCTGACCAGACTTGGGAAAACTGAGCTGGGTGGGAATGGGGGGCTTCCTTCATGCCCCAAGACTGGATCAGGTGCCCTTACAACTTATCCTAGTGTAGCACATACCACAGTGGGCTGAAGTGCTTTTTGCTGCTGTCCTCCCCGACTTATTCATGAGCACTGAGGTAGAGACTATGTATTGTGTGTCCCCTCTGCCCCACACCGAACCACATTCCCTCTTGGACTTTCCTGATAGGTCACAAGGCTCTGTGTTAGCCCTCTCTTCTCTGCATACTATACACCCCTTGGTTGAAAGATCTCATCCTTTCCTGTGGCTTCTCTTACCCTATCTGTGCTGACACATTCCTCAATCTCTGCTTCCAGTCCAGATCTGTCCGGCGCTCTAGACTTCTCCAACTGATGGCCGGCCTCTCAGACACCTCTACTGGGTCATCCTTTAGGCATCTCATTTTCAGTAATTTCAAACTCAGCTCCTCTTCTTCCTCACCAATCAGCTCTTGTCCTCCTGGGTTCCCTGCCTCAGCTGAAGGCAGCAGCAGCCGTCCAGTCACCCAGGCCAGAAATCCTGCAGCTGGCCGCCCTCGGGACCTCTGTCTCCCCTCACATTCAATCCCTGAGTCCTCCACAGTCGGCCTTCTGGGAGTTCTGGCCAGCCTAAGGCCCTGCTTTAGAGCAGGCGTCCCCACATCTAGCCTGGATACTTCAACAGCCTCCTTGATGCTCCCCCTCTTCTTTCCAGTCCACTCTCTCACGGTTGTCTATAAAGTGAGAATCTGGCCACGTTTCTCTCTTGCTTAAGGTCTTTCAAGGCTCCTTATGATCTAACAAGTAAATCCACACTCCTTCACCTGGGATTGTAATTGGTCCCTGCCAACCTTACCCACTCACCTCCACTGTTCTGCTCTCACTTCCCTTTTGCAGTTGCACAGTGCTGAGCAGCTAGAGTTCCCTGGACAGACCAGGATGCCTCATGCCCCTGTGCTTTTGCACAGTAGGTGTCTGCTGCTGGCCCTTCTCCACTGTTCACCTAGAACCTCCTCAGTTATCCTTGGAAGGTATGCTGAATTACTGTTGAATTAAGTTACTCAACAGAGCATTTCCCTTGATTTTGTGTGCTCTGGGAGTGGTTGGAGTGAGTAAGACAAGGTCCCTGTCCACAAGAAGCCCATAAGCATAAATCTAAGTACTCTCGGATGGCAACTTTGGTCAATGGAACCAAGGGCATAGACTTCAGAAATGGCAGTAGGCTGGCAGAGGCTGTAGGAAGGTAGTCAGTGGAGTGACAGCAGCAGGGGAGGGGTAGACAGGGCTTATATGCAGGTGGTAACAACTTGGAGGTGGAGCTTGTTGTATCTCAGTCAGTAGCTGCCTTCCCTCTTTCTGGGCCAAGAAGGCCATCAGAGGTACCTCTGCAGAGATGTCAGAAGCTGCTGTGCCCACGAACCCTGAGCTGGGGGCCCTCCCTTCCTGTGAAGGCTTCCCTGCAGATCTACCTCTCTCTTCTGGCCCTAGCTGCATGGTAGTTATTATTGAAGCTGCAGGCTCTGCACTGGACTGCCTGGGCTCCCATCCTGGACTCCCTCTTGCCAGCTGCATGCCCATAAGCCAATTACTCCTCTCACTTTACTTCAGTTTTCTCCTCTTACACAGAGGCAGTGACAATAACCACCTTCACAGGGACGGTGGGAGGATTCAATGAACTGATACAAGTAAATGTTTTAGAACAGTGCCTGGCTCATAAAGTCAAAAATATCAACTATTATCATGTCTCCTTTCCATCCATCTACTAGGCAGGAAGCTCCCAGAGAGCAGGACTGGGTCTGGTCCATAGCTGTGTACCTGAATCCCATCAAGAGACTGGAACGAGGTGGGAGGTCTCAGAGCACAGGTATGGGTAACTGAATATGTGACCTTTGAAGGACAGGCCTTCATTCCTCGGTGGCTGGTCTGGGGACAGGGAAAAGCTGGGGAGCTAGGAAGACAGCAGTAAAACTGGGGCAGGGACAAGGATGCTGGGCCAGGTGGGGAAGATGATGGGCAGCTGTGGGTATATCTGGATCTGGGTCTTCCTAGCTTGGTACCTGGTGTGCTATTTGGTCCAGGAAAAGTCCCTTCCTGCACTTCATTGAGTACACTTGCGACATGGGACGCAAAACTCCTTCCTGTTGTCCCAGGGCTGTAGGGAGCTAAATGGAAAGGTAGGCTGGACTCCATCTGGGCATGTGTTGGCTAATATAGCTCCTGTACGGGAGCAGAAGAGAAGCCTCATGCCCAGTTCTGCAGGGCCCCTAAAGGAGGTCAACCCCTACTACAATCATAAGTCTCTCTCCTCTGCGTGAGGTAAGGAGTGGTACAGAGAGGGAGAACTGGGACTCTGGAATCAAATGTATCTGTGGCCCAAACGTGGTTCCTCTGCGCAGTAGCTCCATGCCATGGGCAAGACATTTATAACCTCTCTGAACCTGTTTCTTCTTCTGTAAAAAATGAGAGTTTCTACTCTGCCTGCTATTGTGATAGTTGGCAATGGTGTCTTCAGCCTAGTACACAGAAGGCGCTGAAAAAGAAAGGAGTTTTTTTCATTTAGAGCTCACCCCACCAGGAGACTGTCTAGTTTATGACGAGCCTGGAGCTCCTTGGAAGAAAAGGGCTCCATGAGCCAGAAAGGTTCTTGGAGCTTATCTTGGATCCAGCCTCCTTGTTTGTCACATGAGGCCCCTGATGCCTAGAGATGGAGCAGAGTTGAAACTAAAAATTCAGGTCTGTCCTGGCACCTCTGCTCTGTGTCTCTCTAGAAGGCAGCCTGGGCAGCCACAAAATTTCAACTCTTGGGTAGTGCTGGTTTGTCCTCAAGTGCCCAGCCTCGACCCTGATCCAGAAAGGGGGCAAAGCCACATCGGCTAGGTGACCGAATGTACACATGTGGAAGTGGCAAGTGAAGGAGGGATCAGACAGGCCTCTGAGCCCTTGATTCTTAATGTTCATAGCTCACCATACCCCCAGATGTCCCCTACTCCATCCTAGCCCAAAGTGACTTTCACCTCATCAAACAGCTGCAGCATGATGGTGAGCACATCTGGATGGGCCTTGTCCACCTCATCGAAGAGCACCACAGCATTGGGACACTGCTTCAGCTTCTTGGTCAGCTGGCCACCCTCCTCGTGGCCAATGTAGCCTGGTGGGGACCCAATAAACTTGGCCACCTGGAAGAAGGAGGGAAATATACTGGGAAGGCCTTTCTATACTTTTAGTTTCTGATATGGGTATGCACAGGAAAATGGCTTCATTCATTAGCAGTGCCTGTCTTAACAAGGACAGTCGGACCTTTTTCTGGGGTGGTAGGAATCCTGCCGCGATGGAAGAGGCTACAGATCTTCTCTAGGTTTCTTCTTCAGAGCAAGTGCTATGCAAAACAGATCAGTGACCCTCTTGCACCCATATGCCCCCAAAGGATGAACCCCAAGGCTGCTGGAATTATCTCAGGTCCAAAAAACAAGTCACATCAAAATACCCAGGCAGAGTCATGTTGACTTACAGGCCCTCCAAACCACACTTCAGCGAGGACTCTCACTTACCTCATGCCGCTCTTGGAACTCAGACATGTCCAGCCTGATGAAGCCCTGTGTGGAAACAAGCAGGAATCCACTTGGAGGCAGGAAGGTATAGAGGGAAGGGTTAAGAAGGAGAGCATCTCAAATATCCCTTAGGCTTTCAGACCACACCAGTGCAAGATCTTCTATCCCACTCTCATATATTTTTTGTCTCCTGGCCTCCTTTTCTGTCCACTCATCTCCCGCATGATTCCCTCATTCCCTACCTTAATAAACCCAAGTCATGTCCCTGCTCTTCTAAATCTGGCTCAGAATGTCTTTTTTCAGGCTTCTACTGGTCTGATTACCATGTCAGGATGGTGAGGGCATCCTGTGTGTGCTGGAGCCACAGCAGTGAACAAGTCTTGGTCTCCATCCTTGAGGAGAACCCCTCAAGTGGGGCAGTAGACATGGACAGATTCAGTTACAGTCAATGTGGACCATGATGAGAAGGAAGGGTGTAACAAATACCCAGCCAGCTCCATGGTGCCCTCAGCTTTGCAGGTCTTTGTGGGTACATGCCTCTTTGTTTTAGATTATGTTTCTTTTGTGCTAAGAAATCTTTTATTTATTAAAAAAAAACTTTTTTTAAGATTTTACTTATTTATTTGACAGAGAGAGACACAGTGAGAGAGGGAACACAAGCAGGGGGAGTGGGAGAGGGAGAAGCAGGCTCCCCGCTGAGCAGCGAGCCCAATGCAGGGCTCAATTCCAGGACCCTGGGATCATGACCTGAGCCAAAGGCAGACGCTTAACGATTGAGCCTCCCAGGTGCCCCAACATGCTTCTTGTTAATAAAAAATGACACTCAAGAAACCAGAATGACAATTCAGTGAGTTAAGTGTTATAAGGGGAAGCCCAGGCCACTGTAGGAGTTCAGAGGAAGGTATTTTATATGGCCATTGTGAAGACTAATATGGCCATGTGGGTTAAAAATCCTTAGTTAGCCAAGCTGCGCAAATGTTCCAAACTGTTATTACCACAGCAGACATGTAACATATATTTGTTGTATCAAAATGAACGAGATGAATTGCAACAGGTATAGTCTCTGCAACTTAAAGCCATCCTTTTGCCTGACAGAGAGGGATAGAAAATAAGGCTCCACCTTTAACCAATGTGGGAAGAGTCCTTGGAATCTTTAGCTCTTTCTAGAAGCGACACAGACGAAAGAAAGCATCTATACTGGAGACAGATGCACCGAGGAAAGAGACAAGGAGCAACAGCAGGGAGAAGAGACAGAATGAGAGAAGTATAGCTACCTGGGGCCACGCAGTTTAAGGGCGACAAGGACTCCCCCAGTCAGCCAGCTCCCACCGACTCAGCAAACAACAAGGCTGTATCACTGTACAACAGTTCTTTACAGTCATTTATGACAAAAGTGACGGTCAGGGCCTCTCTGAGCAGAACTGATGGAGTAACGATAGTGGACAACGGGGCACTTCTCCTTGCACCACAGGCACCCTGCTTCGTGTTCTCTGTGTCCTGTTGCACTCCTCCCACCAAGCACAGTTCCTGTCA